TATAATGAGATGCAGATAATCCTTCTGGTACCCATTAGGGTCTGGAAGTTCTTGCTGGGGCTGTTAACCAGTGTTCAAGAGGTCGATCACTGTGTTAATGGTAAGTCAACATACCCAGGATTGTTTGCTAAATGTTACCCAGAAAAAATGGGCACTGCACCTGTTCTTTGGTTCCCTTGATTTATTTTTCCTTTTCTGCCTACTTAACTCCATCTCCACCTTTGAGTATTATGTCTTTTATCAGCTGTGTAATTTTGGGGAAATTTCTTCAGTTTTCTTAAAAAAAATGTAATGTGCGCTTTCAATTCTAAAAATGGATAAAAATGTTTTTTTTCATTTTTCTTTTATTATTCATATGTGCATACAAGGCTTGGGTCATTTCTCCCCTTGCCCCACCCCTCCCTTACCACCCACTCCCCCCTCCCTCTCCCCCCCACCCAGCAGAAACTATTTTGCCCTTATTCTAATTTTGTTGTAGAGAGAGTATAAGCAATAATAGGAAGGAACAAGGGTTTTTGCTGGTTGAGATAAGGATAGCTATACAGGGATTGACTCACATTATTTCCTGTGCGTGGTGTTACCTTCTAGGTTAATTCTTTTGATCTAACCTTTCTCTAGTTCCTGTCCCCTTTTCCTATTGGCCTCAGTTGCTTTTAAGGTATCTGCTTTAGTTTCTCTGCGTTAGGGCAACAAATGCTAGCTATTTTTTAGGTGTCTTACCTATCCTCACCCTCCCTTGTGTGCTCTCGCTTTTATCATGTGCTCATAGTCCAATCCCTTGTTGTGTTTGCCCCTTGATCTAATGTCCACATATGAGGGAGAACATACGATTTTTGGTCTTTTGGGCCAGGCTAACCTCACTCAGAATGATGTTCTCCAATTCCATCCATTTACCAGCGAATGATAACATTTTGTCTTCTTCAATGGCTGCATAAAATTCCATTGTGTATAGATACACATTTTCTTAATCCATTCGTCAGTGTGGGGCATCTTGGCTGTTTCCATAACTTGCTATTGTGAATAGTGCCGCAATAAACATGGATGTGCAGGTGCCTCTGAGTAACAGTCTTTTGGTATATCCCCAAAGAGTGGTATTGCTGGATCAAATGGTAGATCAATGTTTAGCTTTTTAAGTAGCCTCCAATTTTTTTCCAGAGTGGTTGTACTAGTCTACATTCCCACCAACAGTGTAAGAGGTTCCTTTTTCCCCCATCCTCGCCAACACTGTTGTTGGTGGTGTTGCTAATGATGGCTATTCTAACAGGGTGAGGTGGAATCTTAGCGTGGTTTTAATTTGCATTTCCTTTATTGCTAGAGATGGTGAGCATTTTTTCATGTGTTTTTGGCCATTTGAATTTCTTCTTTTGAGAAAGTTCTGTTTAGTTCACTTGCCCATTTCTTTATTGGTTCATTAGTTTTGGAGAATTTAGTTTTTAAGTTCCTGTATATTCTGGTTATCAGTCCTTTGTCTGATGGTATAGCTTGGCAAATATTTTCTCCACTCTGTGGTGTTCTCTTCAGTTTAGAGACATTTCTTTTGATGAACAGAAGCTTTTTAGTTTATGAAGTCCCATTTATCTATGCTATCTCTTAGTTGCTGTGCTGCTGGGGTTCATTGAGAAAGTTCTTACCTATACCTACTAACTCCAGAGTATTTCCTACTCTTTCTTGTATCAACTTTAAGAGTTGGTCTGATATTAAGAATCCTTGATCCATTTTTGAGTTAATCTTGGTATAGGTGATATACATGGATCTAGTTTCAGTTTTTGCAGACTGCTAACCAGTTTTCCCAGCAGTTTTTGTTGAAGAGTGCTATTTCTCCATCGTATATTTTTAGCTCCTTTGTCAAGACAAGTTGCTTATAGTTGTGTGGCTTCATATCTGGGTCCTCTATTCTGTTTCCACTGGTCTTCATGTCTGTTTTTGTGCCAGTACCATGCTGTTTTTTATTGTTATTGCTTTGTAATATAGTTTGAAGTCAGGTATTGTGATACCCCTGCATTTGTTCTTTTGACTGAGTATTGCCTTGGCTATTCGTGGCCTCTTGTGTTTCCATATAAATTTAACAGTAGATTTTTCAATCTCTTAATGAATTCATTGGAATTTTGATGGGAAATTGCATAAACATGTAGATTACTTTTGGGATAGACATTTTTACTATGTTGATTCTACCAATCCATGAGCATGGAGATCTCTCCACTTTCTATAGTATTCCTCAATCTCTTTCTTAGAGTGGTGTAAGTTTTTCCTTGTAGATTTTCCTTTTCCATCTTAAAAAATGTTTTTATAAAGCCTCGTTTATGTTGACAAAATCCTTCTGGACCAAAACCAACAATAGTAACAACAACAAAAACCCACCAAAAAAACCAAAAACTGAAAACAAATACATAATTATATATAAATATATGCTATATACATATGTATTTAGGTTGTATTTATTTATTTATTTACTGAAACGCGGGGGCTCCTGTGCCAGTCCAGGTGAGCTTGAAACTTAAGATTCTTTTTGGCCCCAGCCCTCCCTGAGTGCTGGAATTATGGACCTGTACCTCTATGCCAAGATGTAGATTGTTTTAATGGTTGGCTACTACCTAGTTGGGGGACTATCATTTGCTTTACAATAATTTGAGGTTTTTCTTTAGCTTTTGCATTTTGAATGAATAAAATGACAGAGAATGTTTCTTTGTGGAATGTTGCTTCTGAAATCCTCCCCCCACCCCAACATCTTTTAATCCTATGCTTTTTGCCTGATCCCTGTAGGTAATCTACTGTAAACTCTTCTTGTAAGCAGGTAAAGAATTTTTATCTTCTGAAAAGAACTAAAAATGACAATAGTGTCTAAATAAAATGCCAGTAAGTATTTTTCTTTGTTTTGAAGGAGATTATTCTTGTACCACTTCAGATAAAAAACATTGTTTCCTATTCACTTGCCTGAGAGAACCTCAGCATTTCATCCCTAATTCCAAACTAGAATCTTTAAGGACATGAGAGTGTTTTCAAGATTGCTTCAGCAAAACAATTCTTTAAAAGAGTATTGGGAATTTTTTCCTTAGACATTGGTCAATATGCTCTGTTATTGTTTATAAATGCAAGGAATTTAACCTCATTTAATTTCAGAACTGAATAGAGGCTTGTTATTTCAGTAATTAACACTTGTCAGGCATGTCTAATACAAATTGATAATAAAATATTCCCCAGTGTGAAATTTCATCTAATCTTGTAATGTAGCTGAGATTTAAATGGTTTTTAATTGTGCTGGCTTTATGTGTTATCATGTGCTAATTGATCATAATGTTTTAGTTCTTTGTCATTTTAAATTTCACTAAAATGGAATTAGAATTGGTATAGAGGATGAGAAGAAATTATTGTAAACAAAGACAAAGTAATTCTTATATTCCCCCACCCCACATTAGGAACCTTGGGTAACGTGGAACATGGGAACCAATATCAGATCACACTAATGTATGAACATAATCTTCAGCGAACAGCCTGCAATATGACTTATGGATCATTTGGTGGTGTCAAAGGTAATTTACGTTTAATCATGAGCATGTTATTTCAAATTGTACATTTAGAATATCTGGTATGAAAGTGGAGGATTATGTGGTTCCTTGAATCTCCGATGCATTCAAATGATACTTTAAGTGAAAAAATTTGTAATCTAATACTAATAAAAATAATTAAAAAAGAAACTTTAAACAATGAGTCATAAATGATAATTCATACCCAGCAATTTTTATATGGTTGACAGAAGTTATTTCTAAATAAATCTTTTATCTATAGATTTTTGTCTTTTATAAAGCTGACTGAAAGTGAACTTTTTTTGGTGGTAGAACTGTGCATACCTCTTTCAGTGAAAATAAAGGATTGACCTCATTTGACAATCCCTGATATAGCCTGGACTGTAGGCCTCTCTTGTCTGTCTTCCCATCTTTAGAGCCTGCTATAGAGAGTTCTTTTTTTTTTTTTTATTTTTCTTTTATTATTCATATGTGCATACAAGGCTTGGTCATTTCTCCCCCCTGCCCCCACCCCCTCCCTTACCACCCACTCCCCCCTCTCCCTCCCCCCTCAATACCCAGCAGAAACTATTTTGCCCTTATTCTAATTTTGTTGTAGAGAGAGTATAAGCAATAATAGGAAGGAACAAGGGTTTTTGCTGGTTGAGATAAGGATAGCTATACAGGGCATTGACTCACATTGATTTCCTGTGCGTGGTGTTACCTTCTAGGTTAATTCTTTTTGATCTAACCTTTTCTCTAGTTCCTGGTCCCCTTTTCCTATTGGCCTCAGTTGCTTTAAGGTATCTGCTTTAGTTTCTCTGCGTTAAGGGCAACAAATGCTAGCTAGTTTTTTAGGTGTCTTACCTATCCTCACCCCTCCCTTGTGTGCTCTCGCTTTTATCATGTGCTCAAAGTCCAATCCCTTGTTGTGTTTGCCCTTGATCTAATGTCCACATATGAGGGAGAACATACGATTTTTGGTCTTTTGGGCCAGGCTAACCTCACTCAGAATGATGTTCTCCAATTCCATCCATTTACCAGCGAATGATAACATTTCGTTCTTCTTCATGGCTGCATAAAATTCCATTGTGTATAGATACCACATTTTCTTAATCCATTCGTCAGTGTGGGGCATCTTGGCTGTTTCCATAACTTGGCTATTGTGAATAGTGCCGCAATAAACATGGGTGTGCAGGTGCCTCTGGAGTAACAGTCTTTTGGGTATATCCCAAGAGTGGTATTGCTGGATCAAATGGTAGATCAATGTCAGCTTTTTAAGTAGCCTCCAAATTTTTTTCCAGAGTGGTTGTACTAGTTACATTCCCACCAACAGTGTAAGAGGGTTCCTTTTCCCCGCATCCTCGCCAACACCTGTTGTTGGTGGTGTTGCTGATGATGGCTATTCTAACAGGGGTGAGGTGGAATCTTAGTGTGGTTTTAATTTGCATTTCCTTTATTGCTAGAGATGGTGAGCATTTTTTCATGTGTTTGGCCATTTGAATTTCTTCTTTTGAGAAAGTTCTGTTTAGTTCACTTGCCCATTTCTTTATTGGTTCATTAGTTTTGGGAGAATTTAGTTTTTTAAGTTCCCTGTATATTCTGGTTATCAGTCCTTTGTCTGATGTATAGCTGGCAAATATTTTCTCCCACTCTGTGGGTGTTCTCTTCAGTTTAGAGACCATTTCTTTTGATGAACAGAAGCTTTTTAGTTTTATGAGGTCCCATTTATCTATGCTATCTCTTAGTTGCTGTGCTGCTGGGGTTTCATTGAGAAAGTTCTTACCTATACCTACTAACTCCAGAGTATTTCCTACTCTTTCCTGTATCAACTTAGAGTTTGGGTCTGATATTAAGATCCTTGATCCATTTTGAGTTAATATTGGTATAGGGTGATATACATGGATCTAGTTTCAGTTTTTTGCAGACTGCTAACCAGTTTTCCCAGCAGTTTTTGTTGAAGAGGCTGCTATTTCTCCATCATATTTTTAGCTCCTTTGTCAAAGACAAGTTGGTTATAGTTGTGTGGCTTCATATCTGGGTCCTCTATTCTGTTCCACTGGTCTTCATGTCTGTTTTTGTGCCAGTACCATGCTGTTTTTATTGTTATTGCTTTGTAATATAGTTTGAAGTCAGGTATTGTGATACCTCCAGCATTGTTCTTTTGACTGAGTATTGCCTTGGCTATTCGTGGCCTCTTGTGTTTCCATATAAATTTACAGTAGATTTTTCAATCTCTTTAATGAATGTCATTGGAATTTTGATGGGAATTGCATTAAACATGTAGATTACTTTTGGGAGTATCGACATTTTTACTATGTTGATTCTACCAATCCATGAGCATGGGAGATCTCTCCACTTTCTATAGTCTTCCTCAATCTCTTTCTTCAGAAGTTATAGTTTTCCTTGTAGAGGTCTTCACATCTTTTGTTAGGTTTACACCTAGGTATTTGATTTTTTTTGAGGCTATTGTAAATGGAATTGTTTTCATACATTCTTTTTCAGTTTGCTCATTGTTAGTGTATAGAAATGCTAATGATTTTTCTATGTTGATTTTATATCCTGCTACCTTGTTATAGCTACTGATGATGTCTAGAAGCTTCTGAGTAGAGTTTTTTGGGTCTTTAAGGTATAGGATCATGTCGTCTGCAAATAGGGATATTTTGACAGTTTCTTTACCTATTTGTATTCCTTTTATTCCTTCTTCTTGCCTAATTGCTCTGGCTAGGAATTCCAGTACTATGTTGAATAGGAGTGGAGATAGTGGGCATCCTTGTCTGGTTCCTGATTTTAGAGGGAATGGTTTCAGTTTTCTCCATTAAGTATAATGCTGGCTGTAGGTTTGTCATATATAGCTTGTATAATGTTGAGGTACTTTCCTTCTATTCCTAGTTTTCTTAGAGCTTTTATCATGAAATGGTGTTGGATCTTATCAAAGGCTTTTTCTGCATCTATTGAGATGATCAAGTGGTTTTTGTCTTTGCTTCTGTTAATGTGGTTTATTATGTTTATTGATTTTGGTATGTTGAACCACCCCTGCATCCCTGGGATGAAGCCTACTTGGTCGTGGTGAATAATCTTTTTGATGTGTTGTTGAATTTGGTTTGCCACTGATTTTTGCATCAGTGTTCATTAAGGAGATTGGCCTATAGTTCTCCTTTTTGGAGGTGTCTTTGCCTGGTTTTGGGATAAGTGTAATACTGGCTTCATAAAATGTGTTGGCAGTTTCCTTCCCTTTCTATTTCTGGAACAGTTTAAGGAGGGTTGGTATCAGTTCTTCTTTAAAGGTCTGATAGAATTCAGCAGAGAATCCTTCAGGTCCTGGACTTTTCTTTTTGGGGAGACTCTTGATTGCTGCTTCAGTTTCATTTTGTGTTATAGATCTATTCAGGTGATTAATTTCCCTTAGTTCAGTTTTGGATGGTCATATATATCTAGAAATCTGTCCATTTCTTTAAGATATTCAGATTTTTTTGAATATAGGTTCTCGAAGTAGTCTGTGATGATTTCCTGGACTTCCATGGTGTTTGTTGTTATCTCCCCTTTTGCATTCCTGATTCTACTAATTGGGTTTTTTCTCTCCTCTTTTTAGTCAA